CAGCTGAGGACTCTAGATTCATGGGAAGAGAGAGATTAAGAGTTGGTGGCCAGGAGGCCGACTTGCAGAATGTGCCCTTTGGTAGTGCACATTATTATATACACCTGATTAAAACAAACAAAAAAAAAGCTAGTGAATAGAGAGAAACACAGTTAACTGATGATACATGAAGGGGATTATGATCATGGTAATGAAACACGGTATATGATTTGTTGAATGTAAAACTGATGATCTTCCCTGTAAACTTTTACTCGATCCACAATAAAAACCTTAAAAAAAAAAAAAAAAGAACATAATACAAGAAGAAAGCAAAGCAAAGGGTCATTAAAAAGACAGGGGAAAAAAATTGAAGACCAAAATGAAAGTCAGTAGACACTCTGAAATTTGCTCTTGAGCCTAGAGAGGAGGCTAAAGTGACTGGAAGAAATGAGGAAGTCAAAGAGCTGAACAGAAAATTCCAAATGACAGCTTGAGAAGACAAAGTCAAGTATTACATGAAATGTGCATAGACCTGGAGTTAGAAAATCAAAAGGGAAGGACATGCTCAGCATTTATCAAGTTGAAAAAATTAAAGAAAAATTTCAAGCCCCAACTTGCAATATGGAAGACTTCTATCGGCAAAATACTGACTAGATCAGGAAGCATCAAAAGAAGGTGGAAATGGTACCAAAAAGAAATGATGGCCATTCAACCATTTCCAAAGGTAGTATATGATCCAGAACCCAAGGTACTGAAGGAAGAAGTCCAGGAATGATGGAACACATACTGAAATCTTTCAACAAACTGATGCAGCACTGGAGGCACTCAGTCATCTATGTCAAGAAATTTGGAAGACAGCTACCTGGCCAACCTACTGGAAGAGATCCATATTTGTGCCCATTCCAAAAAGAGATAACCCAACAAAACATAAAAATCACTGAGTATCATTAATACCATAGGCAAGTAAAAAAAAAAAAAAGGCTGCAAAAGCACATTGCCAAAAATTCAAGCTGGATTCAGAAATGGAATGCAACTAGGGATATCATTGCTAATGTCAGATGGATCATGGCTGAAAGCAAAGAATACCAGAAAGATGTTTACTTGTGCTTTATTGACTATACAAAGGCTTTCTACTGTGTGGATCAACACCACCACCAAGAACCAGAGCAGTGGGCTTCTCAGACCGCAGAACAAGTAAAGCTGAGTGACTTTGGACAGGAAGCTTACTTGTAGAGTGGGTGCCTCCAGGCACTTTATTAGGAGAACTAGTTTTGCTGATCCACAGAGCTAGAGCACAGCGCCTTCAGGCAAAGGCTTATGATGGAGTAGTATGCCTTATGATGAAGTAGTATGCCTTATGGGCATTCAGCAGCTGACTGGACAACTGTGGCCTGAGCATTTCTGACCCCTAACTTTAACCTGTTAACTTCTCTAACAAACCCCGTAACTGTGAGTATGGTGTCTGCAGATCATCAAGCCTTGCTGAACAGAGAGGACTGTGGGAGCAGTAGTTCGTGCCACAGATTGCAGTGCTGGTCATTCTCCTCCTTGCCCCCCACCATTTTTGCAGAGTCTTAATGTGGGTGAGGCACTGTGCCAAGCCCTTTCAGAAAAACACACACACAAAATCCAGATCTCACTCCTCACCACCTCTGCTGCTACCACCCTGGTCCAGGTCACCATCGTATCTTGCCTCATTGCAATGGCTTAAATAATTTCCCTCTTCTGCCCTTACCCCCAGAAGACCTGTTATAATAATGATCATGCCCTACCCTTTTTCTATTTAAAACTCTCCGAGGCCTTCCGATCTCACTCAGAGTAAAAGCCTATGCCTTTACAATAGCCTATAAAGGCCTCTGTTGTTGCTAGCTACCACAGAAGTAGCTCTTGACTCAGGGCAACCTCGTGTCCGACACATCTTCTTTGGAAGTATACTGCCAGGCCATTCTTCCTAGTCAGTCTTAGTCTGGAAGTTCCACTGAAACCTGTTTTGCATCATAACAATACACAAGCCTCCACTGGATGGTGGCTGTCCTTGCAGTGCATTGGTCAGAAATGAAACCCAAGTCTCCTACATGGAAGGCAAGAATTCTACCACAGAACCACCACCGCCCCCTACGAAGGCTAGGGAGCCCTGCTTCATCTACTCTCCAGTCTCTCTTGGTGCTCACTCTGCTCAGGGCACGCTGGCCTCCTGGCTCCTCTGCAGAAGGTTCCAGGCACTATCGCACCTCAGGGCCTTTACATCTGTTTTTCCCTCTCTCTGGTCCTTCCTTCCCCTATGTCTGCATGCATCTTACCACCCTGAGGTCTCTGCTCAAACACCATCACAGGGAGGTCTTTACTGACCAATCTCTTGCAGCTCCCCTTCCTGTGTCTTCAGTACTCCTTAGCCCCTTTTTCTGCTTGATTTCTTCACACAGAGCTAATTATGGTTTAATATGGAGCTAACCTGTTATTTTTCGTTTGTTATTAATTGTAATTCCATGAGGATAAGGATTATCAATTTCATTCATAGCTGTATCCCCAGTACTTAAGAGCTGTACCTTTGAACGGGGCTTCAAAACATTTGTGAAAAAAAATTTCACTATCTTTTCATTCCATTTTCTCATTAACTTTTGAAGCCCCTTTATTTAAACACTCAATAAATATTTTTTAATAAAAAACTTGTCATTTCCAAATACGTTGTATGATGTTATAATGCCTCAGTGCAATCACTGTGACTGCTAGCTATATTACAAATACCACCTTGCTGAGTGGTTTTAGGTTAATTCCCTGAAAGGACAAAACTGAGACTGCTTTGCTCATAAAATCAATGAAAATTAAGAGTGCGTAAAAGAAAATCACCTAAGAGCAAAACGGTTGTAATTATCGAAGTCCTGGTGTAGCACTGCGGGTTAATGCGCTGGACTGCAAGGCTGGCGGTTCGGGAACCAACTCAACTTGACAACACTTAACAACAACTCTCAGTCTCTTGAACAAAAAGTCACTGGGCTAGAAAGATCTCAAATGATTCTCTGAATCATTTCCTACTTTCAGACAGGCTTCACCGTATCCACTGTCCTAAATTTTCTAAACAGTACTCAAGAGAAGAAATTTTGTTCATCTCTTGTACAACCCATAATTACTCTGGTGGCCAATCTTAACCATTACATTTCTGAGGCCTAGTTCTTAAGTTGTTGGAGTCGGTTCCGACTCATAGCGACCCTGTACAGGGTTTCCAAGGCTGTAAGTCTTTATGGGAGCAGAAAGCCTCATCTTTCTCCTGCGGAACAGCTGGTAGTTGCAAACTGTTGACCTTAAGGTTCTTTCTAAATGTAAATAATTAAAACCCAGACTACTTAGAAATCAGTACATGAATTCCAGTATGGCAGCTTGGAACCAAAATTAACCGAAAAATGTCTCTCCCTCTTCATTCACTCTTGAAAGCAGATGTCTAAACAATTCCGAAACTGTTATTAGATTTGAAATAAAAGTTTATAGTCAATGTCAGATAAAGTTTGACAATCTCAGGAGGCAACTTAAACTCGGCAACGTTATGTGCTGTCCTTTACACAGGAAATTCACCTGTTTTCCAAGAGGAATCAACGATTTGTACTCAACTCCCAATCTCTGGAGAGCAAGCATTTGAAAGAGTGGAGGGAATTAGTAATGAAGGACGGCACAAAGCGCCTTACAAACTCTCAGAGACATCATTTTGACCAATTAACTATAAATCAGTGACTCGTACAGACTTCGAGAAAATAAAGTTAATATTTGCAGAGCTCTTAACACATTAAGTCTATGAGCTGATAATCTGTTCTGGAGGCGAGAAAACTGCTATTCGACATCATGCTCAGAGTCACAGGCTGGTAAGCACACGATGGGGCTCGCTCTCTCGGGCGCCCCCTTAGCACCTTCCCCTCTGGCCGGTTTTAAGCCGGCCACTCCTCCGCCGTCACAGCCCCAGGAAAAGGCATTCCGTGTCTGAGTTTCTTGAATTGCAAAGAAACGAGTCACTTTTCCAGTTACCCTTGCAATTCGGCTACAGAGAACACCGACGCTAAGTTTCAAACGTCACGGCTTTCCTGAAACAGGTAGGAAAGCACAACGAGAAAAGACAACAGGACCTGGAGCACACGGACCAGGCTAAGCCGCAGCCAGCAGGGAGGGTGGTGCCCCCGGCGTCAGCTCGGGAAACTCCGGGCCTGACAGGCCGAATCCGACCGCGGCCTCTCCCGAGCGCTTGCGTCCGTCCCACCCGGGCGTTAGGACTGGCGGAAACGCTCATCTGTTTGGGCGAGTGCGCGCCAGCCCTTACCCACCGCTCATAGCTTCTCCGCCCGGCTCCGTAAAGCTCAGACCCCGGGCGGAGGAAGACCTCGCCACCTGCCTCACTCAGAGGGAGACTAACAGGACACCGAAGTCGTGGGCAAAGAGGAGCCTCTCGGACCCCGCACTGGTCCCCTCCCGCGTCCGTCCCCTAAACTTCCCCACGACCATACCTTCTCCTCATGGCGGAGTCTTCAAGCAGCCGGGCGTCTAGGCACCCCACCTACTCCACGCGAGTCACAGCACAGAAAACACAAACACCACCGATCTACCTCCGCGTCGCCGGTGCGCGAGCCGTTTGGCCCCGTGGAATTTCAAACTGAGCCGGGAGACGGCGCAGCCCTGTGATTGGTGCCGCGTCCTGTCGCTCCTAAATAAGCCCTGCCTTCGCCTCGCCTCGCGGGAGATGAGATCCAAGTGCGCTGTCAGGATACGGTGCCCTGAGTTCTGGGCGGCAGTTCTGGAGCTAAGCCGGGAGCGTTCGGGATCTACGGGGGCGGGGCGCGCGGTTTGCGCGTGCGCTCGGTTACGCCCGTCTTCTGCCCGCCTTCTTCCCTTCTTCCCGTAGAGGAGCGGGACTTTCTTCTAAACCCAACGACATCACACGAGCTCCACCCGCCACACGCAGTTTTGATTCGAACTGCGCGCGCTCTGCCCGGAGGCCGCCGGGAAGGTGCGAAGAATGTAAACGCCATAGCCTACCCAGAGCCGGGTTAGGCTAGCAGGCGTGAGAATTAATAAAATAGACCTAGAGGTTTAAATTCTCCCCCTCACTCATCCAGGTAGCGAACTGATCTCTGATGGTAATCTTCTAGATGCAGGAAGCCGTACGTTTAAGGGGAAGGGAATTCAACACCGCCTTTCATGGACCTGATACTTTCCCAGACAAATTACCTCATTTAATGTCCACAACAGTCCTGTTACGTATTATCGCCATTTTTCAGAGAAGGAAAAAACGGATTCCCAAAGATTTGAGGGATTGTCCAAGTCACATGATAGAGAAATAAATGAAGACAGTAATCTGAACGCAGTTTTCTTAAAAATTACATTGTTGTTGGTGCTGTTAGATGTCATCAAGTCGGTACTGACTCATAGCGACCCTATACACAACAGAACGAAACACTGCCCCGTCCTGGACCAACCTCACAATCGTTACTCTTGAACCCACTGATGCTGCCACTGTGTCAATACCAAACATGATAACCTTCTCCAGTGATTGGTCCCTCCTGACAATATGTCCGAAGTATGACATAAGCTTGTCTATACGGTTTTTACAACTCAAAATAGGATCAAAATTCGTTTTCTCACTGGACATATTCTATATCCCTAAATGCTTGTTGTTAACGTGCCATCAAGTTGGGACGGAATCATAGCGGCCCTATGCACATCAGAAGGAAACACTGCCCTATCTTGGGCCAACCTCACAATGGGAGCCTCGCTTGATATAGTACATATATCATAGACTCATGGTTGCATAGTATCTTCTATGTTGTTTCTAGGTGCCATACAGTTGGTTCCAATTCTTAGTGACCCCAGGTACAACAGAATGAAATACTGGCGGGTCCTGTAGCATCCTCACGCTATGTTTGAGTCCATTGCTGCTACCACTGCGTCAATCCACCTCCAAGGAAATGGAGATCTTCCTTTTTCACGGACGCTCCACTGTACCAAGAATGATGTCCAGGGACTCTTCCTAATAACATGTCTGAAGTATGAGAGATGAAGCTTCGTCATCCAGACCTCTAAGGAGCATTCTGGTTGCACTTCTTCCAGTACAGGTATGTTTGTTCTTCAGGCAGTCCGTGTTGTTGTTAAGTGTTGTAGAGTGTGTTCTGACCCTGTATAGGGTTCCAAGGAGCGGCTGGTAGGTTGAACTGCCAACCTTGGGGTTAGAAGTCCAGTGCTTTTCCAACAGCGCCACACCAGGACTCCATGATTCTTTAAATATTCTCCAAGACCATAATTCAAATGCATCAATTCTTCCATGGTCTTCCTTGTTCATTGTCCAACTTTCACATGCATATGCAGTTATCGAAAATCCCATGGCTTGGGTCAAGCACACCTTTAGTCCTCAAACTGACATCTTTGAACACTTTAAAGAGATGTTGTGCAGGACATCTGCCCAATGCAATACGTTATTTAACTTCTTGACTGCTGCTTCCATGAGTGTTGCCTTTGGATTCAAGCAAAATGAACTCTGACAATTTCAATTTTTTAAAAAATTTATTATGGTGTTATTTATTGGTCCCGTGGTGAGGATCTTTTTTTTTTTTTTTACACTGAGGTTCAATCCATACTGAAGGCTGTGGTCCTTGATCTTCATCAGTAAGTATTTTAAATCCTCCTAGCTTCCAGAAAGCTATACAAGCTTCTATCATCCGCATATCTCAGGTTGTTCATGAGTCTTCCTGTAATACTGATACCACATCCTTCTTCATCTAATCCAGGTTTTTGGATTATTTGCTTAGCATACATATAGTGTAAGTATGGTGAAAGGCTACAACCCTGACAGACCTTTCCTCATGTTAAACCATTCAGTATCCCCTTGTTCTATTCTAATGACTGCCTCTGGGTCTATATACAAATTTCTCATGAGTACAATTAAGTGTTCTAGTATACCCATTAAGAAGCTCTGGTAGTGTAGTGGTTATGAGTCAGGCTGGTAATCAATCTCACAGTCAACAGTTCGAAACTATTAGCTGTTCCATGGGAGAAAGATAAGGCTTTCTACTCCCATAAAGATTTATAGCCTCGGAAGCCCTGTACAGGGTAGCTATGTGTCGGAACCAACTCCACAGCACATCACCACCACCAGTATACCCATTCTTTGCAATGTTATCTATAACTTGTCATGGTCTTCCCAGTCAGTCCTGGTGTGGCACTGTAGGATAAGCACTCGACTTCAAGGTTGGTAGTTCAAACTTACCAGCCACTCCTTGTAAACCCAATACAGGGTCACTATCAGTCAGAACCGAATCAATGGCATTTAACAACAACACACAGTCAAAAGCCTTTGCATAGTCAGTAAAGCATAAGCAAACATTTTTCTGTTAGTCTCTGCTTTCAGCCAAGATCCATCTAATGTCAGCAGTGATAGCCCTAGTTTCCTGTCCTCTTCTGAATCCAGCTTGAATTTCTGGCAGCTCCCTGTCGATGTACCACTGCAAGCATCTTTGTCTCAGCATCTGTGGGCCTGGCATTCCGTGAGATCTCCCTATGCCTTTTTTTTTTTTTTTTTAATGTTTTATTGTGAATTATAAGGAGCTCTGGTAGCATAGTGGTTACGAAT